AATAACTGGAGGTTTTATTTCTGGTGTCCTGGGGGCCCATGTCCCATTTTGGAGGAGGAGGCAAGACTGGAAGACCTTCAAGGTCCCCTCCAAATGTAAGTTTTTGTGATTCTCTGTGTTTCTCAAAAGAAAATACAATTCTTTTGTTCTTCTTTCCAGCAGGAAAACAGCTGTGACCAAAGATGTACCCACAAGATACTATCTGCTATCAGTAGATAGTAGGAATTCAGAAAAGCCGCCACCGCCAGAAAGCATGGAGGGTGGGAAACTCTGGGATCCCCCGTCAGACACAAGCAGCACCCCAAAAGATCACAAAAGAACCCATGAATGCTCAGAGTGTGGGAAATTTTTTAGTCTCCACTCCCTCCTTTTGACCCACAGGAAGGTCCATGTGGGAAGTGGATCCAGTCAAGGTTCAGAGGGTGAGAAATCTTTCTCTGGGAAAAACTCCAAAGATCTCAGGAGCCCCCCAACACTAAAACCCTATAAATGTGAGGAATGTGACTTATGCTTTCGGCAAAAGTCATACCTTCGTGCACATCAGAAAATCCATACTGGAGAGAAACCTCATCAATGTCTGGAATGTGGGAAATTTTTCCGTAAAAAAGCCTATCTCAGAAGGCACGAGAGCATTCACATAGAGGAGAAACCTTACAAGTGCTGGGAATGTGGGAAGAGCTATTCTCAGGAGTCATGTCTTTGGCGTCATAAGAAGATTCATTTGGGAATAAAGCCTTACAAGTGCTTTGAATGTGGGAATGGTTTTACCCGGGGTTCATCTCTTCGCAGTCATTTGAAAATACACACAGGGGAGAAAAACGAAAAGTGCCACGAATGTGGGAAATGTTTTATCCAGAAATCAACCCTGATGCGACATCAGAGACGTCACACCGGAGAGAAACCCTATGAATGCCCAGAATGTGAGAGACGATTTGTGGATTCTTCTGACCTTCGGAGACACCAGAAGAAGCACGAGCGGGGGAAAGCCCATCGATGCGGGGAGTGTGGGAAAAGTTATTTTACACAACGAGAGGTCCAGGTTCATGAGAGAAGCCACATGGGGGAGAAAATATTCAAATGTGGAAAGTGCGGGAAGAGTTATCTTACACAAGGAGAGATCCAGGTTCATGAGAGAAGCCACACCAGGGAGAAGGCATTCAGCTGTGAGGAGTGTGGGAAATGTTTCTTCCGAAAACACCACCTGGCAAGGCATCATAAAACCCACACAGGAGAGAAGCCATATCAATGCAACAAATGTGGAAGCTTTTATATTTCCATATCAGCCTTTCGAAGTCATGTGGAAAGTCACACAGAGGAAGAAACTACACATGTTTAGACTGTGGGAGAGCATTTGCTCATTCGTTTCCCCTTAAGAGTTCACAGCCGAATCCGTACAGGAGAGAAACCTCACAAATGTTCAGAGTATGTATATATGTTTTTCACGGAAATATTCTCTTGTGATGCATCAACGAATCCACACTGGGGAAAAAATGTCTGCAGTGTGGGAAATATTTTGCCCAACCTTCAGCACTTTGCATTATGAAGTGCTCATTATAGAGGGTCACACAACCAGTGGCTATTATAGACCAGTCTAAGATTTGAAGATATCTTAATTTTAAAAAAATCCCAATTGCGGGAATGGATGAGGTTTCAGTCTCAATGGATGGTGGGAAGAGAAGTTCCATGGACTGAGGCAACAGGGGCTCCTTGGCCAGAGATGAGGTGGGGCAGCAACACCGTTGTTAAGTGAATCTCTGGCTTTCCCATTGATTTTGCTTGTCAGAAGGTCACAAAAGGTGATCACATGACCTTGGGACACTGCAACCTTCATGAATATATAGAAGTTGTTAAGCATCTTAATGTCAATCAAATGTCCATGGGGGTCCTAAAATTGTCATAAGTGGGTTTTTTTTAGTTTTTCTTTTTTTAAAAAAATATGATCATCATCGTTCCATCTTTCCTTAAACAGTGTGTCATCTGGGTACAGATATCTGTGCAATAACTATCAAAATTTACATCATTTACACTAATATTAATTATCTAATCTTCAAATTATAGTATATTAAACAATTCAACATAGTGAACCTGTTCATTTTTTCCACTTAACATATCTTCTAATAAAAAGTAATTATTACATTAAACAGAAGAGTCATCATCATCATAATACTAACAATTATATTATTTATATCTATATCTTAACATATTTTCTACTCTTCTTTAATTTTCTATTTCCAACTTCAATTTTTATTCTCTAACCGTTGATAAAATAATTGTCAGGCCTGCAGCCATATTCCTTTGGGATCTTTGACCTGCCACACTTTCTATTATTCTACTTTGCCGTTTCTATTGTGGGAAAATGGGAGGGGGGGATGGTACGGAGGTAAATGCTATGTAGCCAAAATAAAATTCCTTTCTAGAAGGCCAAGGTCATCCTTTGTCTCTACAGCTCTGCACCTGACCGGAACTGGAAGGGTGGAACTGCTAGCATGGCAGTGGAAGATTGGACCATGTGATGGAGTTGTGGGTATGAAGGCAAGATCATGAACTTTCAACGGGGTGGGGAAAACCATGAAACTTTCAGATTCGGGTTTTCCCAGATGTGCCAACATGGCTCTCTTAATAAATTGGAACTTTGAGCAATACTTTGCCTTGGACTCTGATTTAATTTTGGTTGCTATTTGGAACCCTGACAATAATTTCCATATTGTATAAAATGCAGTTTGTTCTTTCTCCTTAATTGCCAACGTCAATCTGTTCATTTCTGCACATTCTAATATTTTCCTAATTACCTTGTCATCAGTAGGAATCTCTTCACTTTTCCAGTGTTGCGCAAATACAATTCTAGATGCAGTTAATACGTGAATAATTAGATATGTATTCTCTTTATTATAAATTTCAAGTAAAATCCCCAACAGCAATATTAAATCAATGTTCTGTTTTATCATCTTTTTCCAACCATGTATGTATTTTTGTCCAATATTTTTTGCTTCTACACATGTCCACCACACATGATAAGACCCAGTTATCTGGTGGCACTTCCAACATTTAGCTGACTTATCTTTAACATCTTTGCTAACCTCGACGGTGTAAAATGCTACCTATAAAACATCTTATACAAATATTCTTTATATGCAGTTGACATCGTTAATTTGTAATTCCTATCCCCCAGTTTCTGCCATTTATTGTATATCTAAATATTTTTGCCCATGCTATAATTGCCTCCTTTACTTGTTCATCTTCCAGTTTTATGCCCAATAGCTATACAATTTCTTTATCAATATTTGTGTATTTTATCTAATTCTGTTAATTCTGTATAAAAAAACATATAACTCAACATCTTTCTCATATCTAGAATATATCTGCACTTGTGAATACCATACTATCTCGATCCCTTAATTCTTGTTTAGTTTTGAGTTCCCCCTTTTCATTCAAAATATCTTTATAACTAACAGTATTTCCCATGTTAATAATGTTTGGGTGAGTCAGTGCTTCCATTGTTGAAAGCCAAACTGGTACCTTTAAATAATGTTGCTCTTCAATTTTCTCCCATACTAACATTAATGCTATTTCTTATGTAATGTCTTTGAAAATAACCATGTATCTTACTTTCCCTACATCACAAGAAAGCATGCCCAACTAGTTGCAAATCATTTCCTTCCAAAATCAATAATCTTGATTGTCTCAATACAATCCATTCTTTCATCCATGTTAATATAGCCGTCTGATAATACAATTTCCAATTTGGTAACCCAAAACCACCGCTACTTCTTGAATCCTGCAACATTTTAAAGCTAATTCTTCCTTTTTCCCCTTGCCAAATGTATTTATGTATTATTCTGTTAAGTTCCTCAAAATATATTTTTCAAATTTTATCGGAATTGTTTGAAAGAAGTACAATAATCTTGGCAATATGTTCATTTTAACTGTAGCTATTCTTCCTATTAATAACTGCAGACTTTCCCATTTATACAGATCTATATGAATTTAATTCAACAATTTATTGTAGTTATCTTCTTTAATCGTTACACATCTTGCTGTCAGCTGAATCCCTAAGTATTTTACTTCCTTTGTAATCTGAATATCTATTCTCTTCATTCTTTTTTGGCTTATCTGTAAGATTTTTTTTACTAAGATCTTAGTTTTCTATTAATTTCAGATCTACCACTTCTCCATATTCTTCTATCTTTTTTATTAATTTAGGCCCTGTTTTTTCTGGATCTTCCAAGAAAAAAAACTAAGTCATCTGCAAACGCCTGTAGTTTATACGTTTCTTTTATTTCCATGCCTTTTATCTCTATCTTGTCTAATGTTTCTATTTAATACTTCCAGTGTCAATATAAATAATAGTGGAGACAAGGGACATCCTTGTCTTGTACTTATCTTAATGCTTACCTTCTCAGTCATATCTCCATTTACCATTACCTTTGCAGCTTGTTTATAATATATCGTCTTAATCATGTTAATAAATGTCTCCCCAAAATCCATCTCTTGTGCTAGCATAAATTGCCAGCTCACATTATCAAATGCTTTCTGTGCATCTAAGAAGATCAACACCATTTGCTTCTCTGGATGTGCTTCATAATACTCCAAGGTATTCAAAATTATTCTCATATTGTCTTTAATTTGTCTCTTAGGTAGAAAACCATTTTGATCTGGCTGTATAAATAGATTTAAAAATCTTTTTAGCCTTTCTGCAATTATTGAAGCAAATATTTTGCAATCAGCATTCAATAAAGATATCGGTCTATATTAATTTTTAATCCGTTATAGGTCTGCATCTTCTTTCGGTGTGAGGGTAATATATGCTTCCATCCATGAATTTGGTACCCTTGCCTCTAACAAAAGTTGGTTGAATACTTCCAACATTGGGATACTTAAAAGTGTCCTGTAAGCCTTTATATAATTCCCCTGGCAATCTATCCGGACCTGGTGTTTTCCTATTTTTTTTGCCTCTTGATTGCTTCTATTAATTCCATTTTTGATATACATTCATCTAACATTGCTTTCAGTGTCACAGGTATTTTCGGTAGTTCCGCTTTTTATAATATTTTTTTATTTTTTCTTCTGAGATTACCTCGATCATAGTTTCTCGTAGTAGTTTTGAATCACTTTCTTTTTGTGGTCATTTTGATAGTATTTTCTTCATCGTCCACTAATTTGTCTATCAATTTCTTTTCTTTCCCTTTTTTAAATTTATATGCCAACCATCTTCTTAAGTTTATTTGCGTTTTCAAAGAAATTTTGTTTAACACTTGATTTTTCATGCTAGTTTTTTTAATCAAAATCGACATATTTTGTAAAATCGATTTGGTTCTTTTTTTTGTGTTGATCTGATGAAAGAAATGTCCTTCTGGGTTCAGCTCCAAGTGGGGAAAAAGACACTGGAGACATGGAGGCTGCTTGGAAAGATGGTTTATTGTTGGACAGGGCCACATGGCTTGAGCCCCGAACAGAAAAGGTGATCACATGCTTCAATGTTGGTGGAGAAGAAGAGAAGGGCTGAGGGAGGGGCTTGCTAGGCTTTTTATAACCTGTTTAGTGTCCCACCTCTCTGTTTCCTATTCCTGTGTAAGAAATGTATTCTGATTGGTTGTCAGACTCCTATAGGGCCATGCAGGGGCAACTCTCTGGGCTGTGTTTTGAATCCAGGTTTAGTTGAGTTCTCAGATGCCATGTGGTCAGTTGAGTAAAGGGCCAATATTATCATGCCTTTACTCCCATCCCCCCTGGGGCTGCAGTGGAGAAGCCTTTATTATGTAAAGTGGACTAGCTTGGCTTTCTTAATGGCCCATTGACAACGTGGGGATGGGCAGGAAAAAACAGGCAGCTATTCTGTCTTTTAAAACATGTTTCTTTCTTTTCATATCCAGAGAAATATTCTGCCTTTTCAATATTTCCTAGGATATTTCATTTTTCTGGGAGAGGGCTGGATGATAACTTCCCACAGATCTTTCTGTAGTTCTATCCCTAGTCTCTTGTATTTTTCTTACCTTTTTCTATTTTGTCTCTTCTTTTTATTATTTTTTAAAAAAATATTATGAAATGGTCATAAGTGTGTGATAAATGGTCAAAAGTCACTTTTTCCAGGGCAATTTCAACCTTGAAAGGTCACTCAATGAAGTTGTTGCAAGCCGAGGACTACCTGTGATTGTATTGTTCCTCTGAGAAAAAGCAAGAGATCTGGGCTGCTCCCCAAAACTCCACTCGTTCCTGTCGCGGGGGTTCTGAAGTTTGGGAGATGACCAACCCAAAGAGGGTGACACTGCAGGAAACCTACCCAGGCTCATGGTCTTCAGAGACCCCC